CAATACTGTAAGTCTGAAATAGAATTGATGTCTCGCGTATGATTACCTAAATTGTTGTTCGCGTTATTCGTATTTTTTCAGTGTATGGCGTGTAGTATATATTTCTATGGCGTGAATTGTCAATTTTTGTTGGTGTAATAATTTCATCGTAACATTCATAAGTACAAATTATTATTATTTTTGTATTACGCTATGTTCTAGCTAGTACGTTTTTAGTGTGAGCACACACCACAAACCATAAGCAGAAATTTGGTGAAATTTGTGGGAGGGGGCTGAGCATTATTTGCTTATTACACCTATAGAAACCACTGTGCGCAATTATTTATTTTAACAAGGCAATTTACGAACTTTGACAATTTGACATTTTTAATCAACAATTTAAACAAAAAAACAATTAGGTGCCTAATCTTAAACATTTTTGGAGTAGGTATTCTAAACAGAAATTATTAATTAATTAAATTAAACAACCTATACGGGTATTATTACATATTATTAATATTACATTAATTGCGATCGTTCCAAGTCATGAAAAGAAGTTTGTAAAATTTTACAAATTTGATTTAATTTTTTTCACAGAATATATTTTTTTAATTTGGTTATTAAAAATGCATTTTACAATTATCATAATTATTGTATTTTTAGTATCTTAACAATTTTTAGACTAGGGGGCTAAGACCTGTACTTTATATTTCTGGGGGCTTAGTCCCCTCAAGACTCCCCTCCCACGATTATCGCCTATGCCACAAAAACAAACGTAGAATACAAAATAGTTTGTTTTTTGTCGCATACGATATGCCCGCACTAACTAGGAGTAGGACATAGTGTTAATATTTTAATTTTAATAGATATAATTAATAAGCTTCATACACATATAAAATAACCCCCCTCTTCCCCGAAAATAAATAGTTACACCATTGCTTGAAATTAACATAACGATAGTTTGGTTTAAAAAACTGTTGCATAGTTGTATAAGAAATTTATGTTTTAATATATAGGCAGGTAACAAAAAATATAAATATTTCATTAGTGGAGGGGGCTCAGCCTCCCCATTGCCCTCCACCAATGAAAAATAATATTTTTCCTTGACTACTTAACACCCGTATTAACCAATATTAACCCGAATAATAACGGTTATTAACCGTTATTATATTAATACCCAAACGTTTGTTTAAATGTTGTATTGCGGTGTTTGAACACCCGAATATATTCAACACCCGAACCCGAAACCCGAAAAAATATTCGGATGCAAAGCCTTGGTTAAAAGTTTCTGATGTTAATAATTTAATTGTACCAGTATCTGAAAACAACGAAATGAAATATTATGTACATAATGAAGAGTTATTTGATGTTATACATAAGGTTCATTTATCTATTGGACATGGTGGACGAAACAGGATGGAACACGAGGTAAGTACAAAATATAAAAATATCATCAGAGATATGATTATGCTATATTTAAATAGTTAAGAATCATGTAAAATAAAAGGAAGCACAGACAAGAAAGGATTGGTGGTGCAATCAATTATATCTACTGAGATGAATTAATAATATAAATACATGTCATTGTTCATTGATTTATCATATTTCATTAAATCATATCATCTGTTATCTATATTTCCCAATATACGAAGGGCATTTTATATACTGTCCAGACAATGTATAAAATGCCTAAATTGTATACTTTGCCCGTAACATACACACATAACAAAGTCTCGCCTCCTTCCATATGGTATGTGCGGTATGTATACCCAACCGAAATTCAAGAAATAGTATTTATACATATCTACGTCGTACGATATACTCGTACATACGTACCTTACATACGTAAAAAGGAAAAATATATTTTTTCGGTGAGTTCCTTTTTCCATATTATTCTTTACTCCTACAGTGACAAATGTCAAATTTGCAGTTTCACAGCCTTTCGTTATTATTTTATTGCTTTGCCGTTGCCTCCCCCTACCCCTCTCCTATCCAAAAATATAATGCATACTTTATTTTAATATGACAAAATAACCAACGACAAAAAAAAAAGATACAATTAAAAGTAGAAAAGCAAGTCATTCATTATTATATTGTTTATTGTTATTATTATTACTATCATTATTGTTATTATTATAAGTAGATGAGGCGAGGTTTTCAATATTTCAACATGTTTTACCAATTGCAACTTGCGAGTATTTATACACGAGTACAAATTACACGTTATATTGCGTTTTAAACGCAATACTCATAAGAGCGTCACTATGTATCCTATGGATTTAGAAATGTAGAAATTGTTGTGTGTTCAAAATCCAGTCAACTCCATCTGAATATATCTATTGAAAAAAAAAGTCTAATTGAGTTGTCTTGCGTCCGTTATATGAGAGCGAAATATACCAGTATAGAGTTGAATAACAAAATTTATAAAACTTAACTAAAAATGTATATAATTATAAAAAAATTAATATTTTCATACTGATTATTAAAAAAATGTCTTTTTTTATTTATTTGTACAAAAAAAAAAGGTTATTGATTTTATCAAGGGTGCCACGAGATGATGTCAGTTCTAAAAGAGCGATGCGAAACGAAAATGTTTGGGAACCATTGACTTAAGGATCAAAATTTGTGAAATGGAACTAATCGACCTCAAATAGACTTAATAAAGAATTTAAAATAGTTATAAAAAAATCTTATTTCCTAAGTCAATCTGTATCATTGACAAAAGATTAGTCCTTTTTGATTGAAATAACCGTCGGATTGCAATATATATATTGCATTATATAGTCTAGCGATTCTCAAACTTTTTCGACTGGCGACGCTCTTTTGAAAATGAGGTAATCTCATAGCGTCCTTAATATAATTGAAGACCCTTTGTTATAGAAATAAATACAATTAGAAAATATTTTAACAGATAATCATATAACGGTCGGTAGCGCGAAGTCCTTGTAAAGTCACCACAAAGCACCAAGACCACGGTGCACACTTTGAGAATCGCTGGTGGAGTCAAATTCAAATTATTAATTGAAATTATGTGATTTCGAAAAATCAATATGATTCGAAAACTTCCTAGAGAAATTCTACTGTACTGTGATCGCCGACTATAATATTAATAATGTATTGTTGTAAGCGAACTTCTTGATTATGTAAACAAGCAATTATAATGTCTTGAAATAATATTCAATATAAATATAATTTAATTAAATGTAATAATTTTGATACTTAAACTTGATTACTATTGTGAAATTTTCAATATATTCAAAACACAAAAGATGAAACTAATAAATGTCTATTCATTGTAGAAAATTATACTATAATAGTAATTATAATCTTGAATAGTAATTATACCCAAATACGAGACTCTGCAACTTTATGATCGATATTCATAATATCACACTTGCAAAAACGAATTATTAGACAGTAAAAACTACCTATTGCTAAAATAATTTGAATAAAAAAGAAAATCACATTATAATGTAATAATTAAAGGTTGGACAAAATCATTAAAAAGTGATGAATGATAGTTATACCCGTTTGGAGGAAATATAACATCGAACAAAGTAAATTAAAAAAACGTGGATTCCACATGCTTTTTGATCACTTCTTTTTTTGTCTTTCGAACAATGGTACCTAAGATTTGTCTTCATGTTTACGACGATTTTTTTTCAAAATTCAAAATTTAACGAAACACTCCATTTTCGTTTACTGCTTTAGTAACGGCAGTTTTAAACTATATTCAAATTAAACCAGTGACGCAATGAGTTAAGAGAAAAATTAAGTAGAACAATAGATATATTAAAAATGTATTAGTAAGGAATCGTAATTCATTACAGAATATTCTTTATTTACCCATGAACTAGATATTATGAGAACTATTTACACATGAGAAAAATGTCCTACTAAATTTTTATTTAATTGTAAGTAGAAGGTCACAAATTCCTCAATACTCAAAACTTCTTTATAACTTCGTTTGCTTTTAAAATAAAAAAAAACTCACGCGCATCGTTCACAAACACCTTAGTACAATAAATATCCACATATTGTAGTCCTTGAGTAATTTATTAGCCAACCAAACCAGAAAGTTCAACAATTTAGTAAAGTTGTTTTAATCATTTTAATGGTCAGCCAAAACGTCGGGTTGTAAAATTATTCTTGATAAATAAATTTTAGGAGTAAAGAAGTTCCGGCCGATTCGTCTTCCGTGTCTAACCCACGGAAATCCAATGTTTCAAGACAAAGTGTTTGTGTCCCGCTCCATATTAACCATTAATTATCAGTACTATCGCCGAGTATAGAAACGGAAACGTGTCCATGCACCGAATCACGCATATTAAAAATATATCGTCAAAAGGCTTATTAAACAAAAGAAAATGCAGAGTCATTTTCGGGGTATGTGAGACTCCAGGTCCTTATATTTATAGGGGGCATTTAAATAAATAAATTATGATATATATATTTTATGAACATATCAATTATTACTATTAGCTATTAATAAACTTTATCAATAAAAAGTCTTGTTCTTGTTTGAATCTGTTACTTACAACTTTATTATTAATTATGATTGTAAAGTGTGCAGTCGTATTACGCATAGTCATTTATCTCAACTATATACAGACGATTATTACATTCAAAATTGTTCATGATTTATAAAAGCCCCATCGCGTCATGTGTGGACAAAAAACATCAGTTTTTCATTTCATTGATAAAATTACATATTAGTTTTATAAAAAGCTAATTTTAATATTTTGCTTTCAATATTTATCTTTTTAAAAAAAGATGTAACATTTAATTTTGTAAATATGTAATATGTGTATTGACACATGGGCAAAACTTTTTTTCCGGGATATATTTAATAGGGCCACATATAACCAACAAATATACAAAAAAGTACTTAAAAAGAGTATTTCTCTGAAATCACAGAAATACATAAGATTACGAAAAATGTATAAAAACAATATAAAAAAAAAAAAAATTAAATAATTAAAATTATATTTTTTTACTTTACTACTTCTAGTAGGTAGGTAATTTATTTACAACATCGTTTGAATCGTATATTTTATTCAATACATTTTTCCTATATTCATCAACATCAAATATTCCAATATATCTCGTCCCAAGGTATTTCTTAAGTAATTTTTAACTTTCTAATTTTTTCTTTATAGCTTTTTCATAATTACTTGTATTATTTGAAATAAAGTTTTGGCATCATTTACGAAACCAATTACCTCAGCTGAAGATATAACTTTCAAAGTTATAGAGCTTGATATACTTCCATAGTTGGCTTTTATAAATACTAAATTGAATTACATTTCTTTGACTGTCATTAATGTTTCGATTTTTTGATAGCTATGACATTGTTTTCTTCAAAACTGTTGATTACTTACTGTTTTAATGAATTGAAAATATTGACAACAGTATACTAGATCTTCTATCCAAGTTTTCATCTGGTCAATATTGTTTGAATTGGTATATATTGGGCACATCAATTTTAACTTCAAAAATCTAGAAGATACAAATATAGGTACATTAAAACAAATAAAATAACCGAAAAATTCTAAAAGTGCTCTTAAAATGAGAAAAACATTGAAAAATGCAAAATAAAATTTTCGGTTTTGAAGTACCTATCTGTTACATATAGGTAACAAATTATGTACTACTTAGAAAACATTGTCTAAAGCCATATTTTTTAATAAAAAAAGTAACAATTGAAAAAAATAAAAATATACCAACTTAAGATTAAATACCAGAAAAAAATAATACTACTTATTGTAATGTAGGTTATTTTTTTAAATTTAATGAACTAATCTTGGATGTTGATAACTGTTTTGAATTTCAAAAACGTAAATTACATTAAACATAATAATTTTTTCCATTATCCGACTCAAATAAAATATTAAAAAATTAATTACATTGGCGCCAAGGAATGTTTAATATACATCCTTCACAATTCATTTTCGAATATTAAAAATAAAATGCAAAAGTATAAAATAAAAATATCACATGTTACAGAATGAGCAAATCTGAAGGAATGAACTATAAATTGTGTGCAGTCAATGTTAACTAAATCATTATGTTTAGTGTTATTTATATGCTTATTATTAATTATTTCTATAACAATTTTATATAATTCATTTATCATTTTATACAGTTTGAATATGTTGACCAATGTTAATTTAAATTTTATAGCGTTAGGGTAACTACTTGGAAAAATATCTTCTTCAAACTTTATAAAATTATTAATATAATACTATACCAAAATTACAATCAACAAGGTATTTCTGCATTTATAAGTTTATCAGTATCTTTTATCTATAAATTTTTAGTTAAATTTAGTAAGATTATTGTTGAAAAGTATTGGATTATAGATATGTATTTGTACCGCGTTATATCCATGAAATTACTTATAAAAAAAATTTCAATTACATTGTCATAACTAAAGACTGGATGTAATTGCATTAAAAATATCTTAAAATTGCACTGAAAAGATGCCAAAATTGCAATGAGAATGTATCAAAATTGCCGTATAAATATGTTAAAATTGCAATGAAATATACATTAAAATTACACAGTAAAATCATATCAAATATATAATCATTAATTACTTACTTAAATAATATTATAGGAATTAATATATTTACAAAAAATTACAAAAATAATTTTTCTGATTTAAAATTTATAATTATATACATGGTATCTACATTTTGTTCTTGAAAACTGTATCGTCTATTACTTAAAATATGTTTATATAATGAAAAAGTATGTTCAAAGTCGATAGTTGTTATCGATGCATATTTAAAATAATTTAAAAAATTTGGAGTTATATCTAAATAAACATTTTGATTTCCTGTCATAGTTTCAAAGTATTAATAGTTTTCCTTCATTACTTTCTAAGACATATTTTAATTTATCTTTAACTATTTCTACATTGGGACCGGGAATATTTATAGAAATATTTTCAATTTTACTAAATATGTTTAATTTAAATAAAAAATATGTTCATAATACCAATACCACTAACAAAAAAAAATATATATAACTTTAATCTTATAATGTTACATTTATAGTAAATTAATAAAAAAAAAATTTCAAATTCATCAAAATAAATAAAATACATAACATTTATCATATAATAATATTAATTTATTAATATATTAATTTATAATAATATAAATAATTTTTATTACTGAAATTTTGTTGGATCTAAAACTTCTAATAATATAATATATATTCTCATAATATGAAAAATAAGACAACTCAAAAGTCATGGTAATAAATTTAATTTTTACAAAGTTGAAGCCCAATGTTGGGAAATTATAAATGTTGTAAAATTGAAAAACCTTCATTGCATACAACACAACCCAATTTATCAAACATTAAATAAGTAAAAAAAAAAATATCACAAGTATGATTAATAATAATTTTACAGTAACAAAAAACAAGTTTAAATAAATAATCTTAAAACAGTAAACATTAACCATCTATAATACAAATCAATTAAGAGATGAATCATTCACAGAACCCAAATCAGGTATACATAAATCAGTCACATTCTGAGGAAAATTGAGCATACACATATTAAAAGAAGTCTCTATGTTTTTCTTGGCTATTGAATCATTTTTTGTAATGAAATTAATTACTCTTACACGACGATTAAAACAACCAACAATTCTACGTACATAGTCTTTTGAATTTGTAGGCAGATCATAATTTACAATCCACAATACTGCAGAAAAATCTTCACCTTTCAGCAACTCAGTAGTAATCAACAGTTTACATAGATCAGATCGAAACTTTTGTATTATGAATTTTCGGTCTCTAGTATCCATTTCTTGATGTACAGCAGACACTGTACAAGATTTAAGTCGCAGGTTTACTGCAACTTCTAAAGACTTACTCCATGTTTTACAATAAACAACGGTACGCATTAAATTTAGAGTTTCATAAAGTTCATAGAGAGCATCAAATTTCCATTCTTCAGGTACATTAACGCAATATTGTAAAATGTCTACAAATAAATAATACTAAGATTTTAATAAAGAATAATAATGTATGTTATAAATAGAAAAAATAAAAAATTACCTTCCAAAGAAGGTTTTTCATCTGGTACTATAATGTACTCAGGATTCTGCATTACTTCAGAAAACTGATCGAAAATCTCCTCCAATTTAGAAGTTGATAATACAATTAGTTGAGGGTTATTATTGAGGAATAATAACACACGTCTAATATTGTTAAAAAATCCATTGTAATTAAACATTTCATCTGCATCATCAACTACAAGTATTTTTATGAAATCTTTACACAATGAATTACAATTGATCATGTCACATAAACCATGAGGTGTACTGATGACCACATGAGGAACTGGTGAAACCTTACGAGGAACATTGGAACCACCAATACAAGTAGAAACATTTAAGAATTTCCCAAATGATTTTATCATCTAAAAATATTAAATACTTAAAAATTGAGTATAACTTGAAAAATTAATTAAATACCTTAAGCCCACATAATGCTAGTTCTAATGTTGGAACTAAAATAATGGCTTGACATTCATTGAGACTGGTGTTGATTTTTTGTAATACTGAAATGAAACATATGGTTGATTTTCCAATACAAGGGTATGAATGAAAAATAATATCACGCCCATTAATACAATGAAATAAAAATTGCTGCTGCAAGGTCATAAAATTCTCAAAGCCATGATCACGAATACCATTTGATAGTTCAATATTCAAATCCATAATACTACATTTATCTATGTGACATGGTTGTAAGGATTTTTCATCATTATTAAAAGGAGATGGTTTATCACCATTAACAGATAAATCATTACATTTTTTCATGACACTAGAAACTTCAATATTCAACATTAATGAATTAATTTCATCTTTTGAATTATTTGTCAAACAAATTGGATTATGAATTTCATTTCCATAATTATATTCCATACAATAACAAATATTCTCAAAGTTTTTATTTACACTTGAGTCTTCTTTTGATTCAAACTTTTGATCTAATTGTTTATTATTTTCAACATGAGTTTCTACCAAGATATTTTTTTGTTCATTGTATTCATTTGAAATAAGTCCAGTGTTAAGTATCAAAGGCGTGAACTCATTGCTATCTTTTAAAACATTTGTCAATTGACAATTTTGTTTATGGGCATCTATCTCAATTTTTTCTTTTTGTTTGTTGTATTCTCTTGAGATATCTTCAGTGTTTAATTTAAATGGTAGTATTTCAATCTCATCTTTTGATCTATTTGCCAATTTATTATTCTGTCTATGGGTATGTATTTCTATGTTTCCTTGTGATAATGTGTTATCCTAGAAAAACAAAAATGATTAGTTATCTTAACAATACATGAAAAATATTTAGTATTTTATATTAATATTAGTTGAACCTCAATGATTTCTTGAATAATGTCAACAGTTGGTTCATTTTTAAGAGCAATGTCAAGTAAACCATTTTCATTGACTTTAACCCATGAATCATTGCTCGATTTCAACATATTATGTTCCTTGTTATTTAATGAGTTATGTCTATCACTAGATCCTTTGTCAGATAATGTCACTTGGTTAGCACCAGGTGCGATTGATTTAACATACTCTGCATTATGTTTCAATTCAACTTCATCCTATAAAGTAATGAAAATATATTATACTAATGACAATGATTAATAACAGTTACTCCGAAGAAAAAAATATAATTATTTATATAAATTTTATTTCAATAATATACGAACATTTTTACCACAGTTTAATAAATTTTTATCCTTTACTACATCATACATTTTTAAAAGTTCTTCACTTTTATTACTTGTACTCATTGTGCCAACAATGTCATTTAAGTTAGGTTGCACACAACTTACATCTTGCATTAAGTCACTAACATTGGATAAAGTTGCAATAGATTCAGTATTTTTAGTTAATGATTCAAACAATGATGAATGCATACTAGATGCCATCTGTAATGCTTCATCATACATAACTTTGTTTGAAACAGATTTTTCCATATCACTTATAACATCTTCATCTGAAACAACTTCATACTCTGACAAAACCATAACACTATCTTCTGAACTGATATCACTTAAAGAATCTAATGTTTCAATGGCACATCCACTATTTGCAGTTAACTGTGAATTTTCTGAATTTTTCTGTTCTTGAGTATCCAAATCATTACTAGTTAAAGTAGAAACCATAAGTTGTCTATGCAATATATGTTTTAAATATTCCAATGGTTTAATTTCATTTTTTAGATTGTTAATTATACTTTCTAAAGATGTCAAAATTTTTTGTTTATTTTCCAACTCAGAAATTTTTCGTTTTATTTTATCAAATGATAAACATTCATTAAGTAAGTCAATTTTGTTTTGTAATACTTTTTTCTCAGCAAACAACTCATCAATTTGATTTTGGAGTTGGTTTTGTTTTATCACATATTTCTCAATTTCAGAACTCATTGTATTTATTTGTTTATGTATCTTACTCAATTTCACATTCCTTCCTAAAACAAATATATTTTTAAATAAAATAATCAATAATATAAAATCAATCATCAAATTAGTTATTCATTAAATTTAGATATTGATTATAACAACTAATACTTATAAAATAAAAATCCAATATAAAATTATATTGAAATTTTTTTAATTTACTTTTGAAAATATTTTCCCAGAAGTTGAGCAATGCAAGTAAAAAATTTAAGACCAAAAAAGTTAGTTTTTTTTACAAACCATAAATACTTTGGTACAATATTAGTTAGTAACAAAACAACATAATAAAAGTATTTAATTTTGAATCTATAAATTAAAATTTTTATAGAATATTAAGAATAATTATTGACAAATTAAAGGTAACATCATTAGGTTTAAAAGATCAAAAATAATTCATAATAATTAAAACCAGTGAGTTTTGTATGATCTAACTACAGTGAACCTTCTATAACTCGACCAATATCAGAACAGAAAATTGTTGGATTAACGAAAACGATTAAAACGATTAATATAAATTGCTATAATAAATTATTAGTTATGGATTATGCGTAGAGTGGTTACACATTTTCTATAATAGAGTGAAGTTAATAACACAAAAAAGTGAAAACCAGGAAAACGCATAGCATTTGAAACATGCATTAAAAATTAAATTTGCATAATAGACTTACTTCGAACACTAATGAATTCTATTCTAATTCTATCTAAAATCATCCTAAAATTTGTGACCAACAGTACCTACACAACGATACTAAGACGGAAAGATACTTACGAGGAGGTTACGCGGTCGTGGAATAATTCCAAAAACTCGTGACAAGTTAGATATTGTCAGCCTACCGACCGAGGCAACCAAAATCTTTAAAAATATATACTCATAGGTATTTTAGTTTACCCGAAAATATCCTCGAATCGCGGAATTGTCATTGTTTTGGACTACGCGCGATAACAGTTTCATAACGCGAGAACAGCTGTTTGTACTAATAACGACGGACAACGAATTACGAGCTGAACTTATAATCATGATTAAAGAATATCTAAATCATTGAATTCTATATGATAACTGGAATACTCACCAAGCAGGGTTGCCCGATAGAGCATGTTAAAACGAGATGGCACATACAAATGGTGTTATTATCTTTGTCTTGCACATGGCGCTAATATCTTAATAACATATTTTACCGCGATATTATTTTAATTTTGTTCTTATAAGTTAGGACTTTAATTCATAAATCAAGCATATGAAATAACAACTTCATTTACAATAAAATAATATTTATTAAAATAAAAACATAATGTTTATAATATTATTCATAATTAAAATAAAAGTGTACTGACGCTACTTACCTGAAGCTGTTTCTATTACTTACCTTAGATTGTAATTACTACTTTCCTAACTTAACTTAATTTAGACTTTATGATGGTTAAATTTACAATATAATCATTCAATCATGTAACCTGTCATTATTTTGCTTTAACTTATTGGGTGGTGGTACTAACAAATACTTTGCCCCACCAAATAAAATACAAATAGGCGCCACTGATAATAAGTACATTTTTACAAATATATTTAAGTAATTTAACATTTTTGTTAACAGTTTATTATTCAACCAGTCCAGACTGTGTCTATGAGCCCAAAAATTTGTAAAATTACATTTATTTTTCCAATAATTTTTTGTATATTTTTTTATTTTTTGTGCTATTTATAGAGCACATTTTAGAATTTTTAAGTGCATATTTAAGAGTAACATTTTTAGTGCTTAAACTTCCGAGCCCTGATTATAACACACAAAATAACTTTGTAAACATATGTGACAAATAACTACAAAAATTCACCATCTTAAGTCATAACTGCACAGTGCACATTATTTTAATTTTTTTTACAACATTTAAAACGCATAACAAAACGTTTAACGAACAACGAATTTAAAATGTATTGGTAATTAATTCATATAATTATGTGTGATAAAAAAAGATAGCATCACCATTCTTATCTGCTATCTTTTTCTAACACGCTCTCTCGGTTATGTTTGCATTGGTCTTATGACTGATGAGCATTCCAGTTATCATATAGAATTCAATGATCTATAATCGTGCTTATAATCAACCTTATAATAATCTTATATATATATATATATATATATATATATAACCTTATAATCAAGAAATCGGTTGGAAATATCTGAAAAGGGAGATGCTAACATCCATTGAGCTAAAATTTGGCTACCAAATATAATTTTATTAGCAGGAAATGGTAAACGGAAAAAAAAGCTCCTCGAAAAAAATTTTCGGAAAAAAAGTCCCCGGTAGAAAAGTCTCTCGTTATAGCATGAATAAAACGATATTTTCATTATATATACTTGTTATTTTATTTATAAAATAAATTTGGTTGACAAATCTGACTGACAATCGCACAAAACTAACAATGCTTGCGAGGGCTGGAACAATAAGTTTTCCCATCTCGTCGGCATTAAACATCCCAGTATTTAAAATTACTAACAAAAGTGCGTCAAGAAATTATAATAGACAAGGTAAGAATGGCATTGGTTGAAGTAGGAGAAATTAATCGGAAAAAAACAAAATCTGGTAAAAAAATTGAAGTTCGATTGAACATTTTATGTAAGCGTTTTGATGAGGACAAATCTGCAGATATTCCTATTTTTTTTTAAAGCGAATAGGTCAAAATGTCAAAAGAGATCTTTTATATCTGAATAATTGCACTCTTATATTTTTTAAATAATATTATAGATGTTTAAGATATTATATTATTATATTATTATAATATACGAGTATTATATAATTATATGTTATTGTATATTTTATTTTGTTTGTGCATAAAAGACTGAATTTAAATCAAATATTAATTTGGAGACTTTTTTTCCGTGGGACTTTTTTTCTGTGGGACTTTTTCACTGGTTATATTTTTTTTCTAATATCGCAGGAAATCATCAAACTCATGATAGTGACTAATCAAAAATAATTTTTCTATAATTATTTAATAGTCAATTTTATAATATATTTATATAGTTAATATTTTTAGTAGCTTTAAGAATTTAGTATATAAAAATAAAAATTGTTAATAGGATTTAATTTTTTAGTTTAATTAAATGGCTGATTAGAAAAATGAAACTATAATTTTTTTTTAATTTGTCCGGGGAGGGGGGGATTTTTTGAAAATGTTTGAAAGGGGTGTTGAGTAAAAGAAGGTTGGAAATCACTGCACTATATGATTGAAGACAGTGGCCTTCCCATTGCTAAAATCCAAGCTAATAAATAAATAGGCAATAATAAAAATAATTATTACTTACAAATATCAAACCCCTTCCCATAAATAACCTTAAGCTACATACTTGGTTTCAGACAATGTTGAAACGTGAAAAACGGATTCAACAACTCTCCGTGTTGATCATTTAAAATTTAAACAAAGAAAATCCAAAAAAGATAATAATCGAATATAAATGATTATACATTCATCCTTGAATTTTCATTGCTTCCTGTCAACAATAACATTCAATGTATAGAAATAGCTCATGATTTAAACAACTTGGAAATTTGTCATTATTAACTATACATTTAATACCTTGCCGATTATTACTTAAATCGCTTATAAACTTATTTATAATACAAGGCAGTGATTTTTATTTTTAGAATCCTTAAGGTACTAAAAATGTCCATAGAATCCTAACACCTATAACCAGTAATACTAATTGTAAACCAAAACTCATAAAAAATTATGCATCCATCATTCGCGTTACTTATTATTTACTTTATTACTTATTATTATTTACATGCCGCATAAATACAAGGTATTTAATTTAATTTATAAAAGAAAAACATAATAAATACCATTTAATAATTTATAAGTTATAGTATGATCAATGATATTGTTTTTTTTTAAATTTATTTATCAATACTTCCATAACTGGTTTGATAGAAAAAAATTGAAAGTGTATCTGCTTTTATATAACAATATATATATATATATATATACTTTTAATAATGCAATTAATAATATTTTATTTTCACACATATCTATGGAGTCATAGAACTCCATAGAGTCCAGGTCTCCACAGCATAGTTTGAGAACCATTGACATAGATATGTTTAATTATAAGATCAACTATTTGTTACGTTAAAATAAAAATATATTCCATACAGAATCTGTATGCGATTTCGATGTATATGAATTAAACAATAAAATAAAATATAGCATAATGTACTATAATATTATACATTACCGTATATAAAATGTTGACGTTTGATCTACACTCCATAATCAATTGCACAATACTGCGTTATAATTATGTAAATACGCCAGTCAATGTTATCTCAATTTAACGAATTTAAACTGTACATACAAGTACTTAAATATCGATCATATTATATTGTGGCAAGAAAACAAAATTAATAGATATACATAATTATTGCAGAGAATTACGTCAATGAGAAAACCCGATTACGCTGTCATACGTACGTAATTTATAATATTTTAGATTCGCTAGATCATTTCAAAAGCATATTGGGTATTTTTAATAACTTACCTACATTTTCTTTCTTTTCCAACTGTAACTGCACTGTACCCATAGTTTACACGAGGTACACACACCAAGCATGGTTTTGGATTTACAAATAATACACATACGAATAGATACACTCGTGAACCATGTAAATAAAATAAAATTATAATAAAATATTCGAAACTGCTTTTAATTACACTATACCGCTGTATCAGCTGTATCATATACTCTATCATTTTGAATAACATTAAATACGATCTAGTTAACAATTTATAGCACGTACATGGGCGGATCCAAGGGCAAGACATTGGGGCAAGTTCCAATCCTTTGGAAGAAATAATATTAAAAATAAACTAGGTATATTTAGGAGAACTAAATAATAGATTATAAAAATAAATGTTGATACTTTAAGTATAATATAGTTAAATTATTTTTGGGAGGGAGTTCAAGGCCCCTCTTCAAGACACCCCCATAGGCGTGCGTACACTTCAACTTTCGGTCGAGTCTGAATACAATTAGTGCCCCAATACTAAGACAGTACCCCTAATTTTATTCTAACACTTCAACATAGTACATTCTGTTTTAAATTAAAAACAATTTAGAATTTATATCTATATATAGAATCAAGTATTATATTGCTAATTTTTAGACATATACTTTTGAAGTTAAAAGTAAAACATTAAATTGTTTAAAATCAAATGATATAAATACAATTAATTGATTTCCACGAAAATATTAAAATATATATAGACATTTTACTATGGTTAGCTTAAATTTTACTATACCCCAAAAAAATTCCGGTCAAGCCGGGGCTCGCCCCGTGCGCACGCTTATTAACACCCGTACATACGCCTACGATCAGCTACATTGTTTCTCCTATAAAGTGCTTCAACCGTAAATAAATGCTGAATCCACCCTTGAACACAGATTAAGTAAAAACCTACTACAACCATAGGCGCCAGGTTTTCAAAAATGTATTGGGTGCTCTTACCAATGTCAAGCAGTGGTGCACGCAGGGTTGTAGGTGTAAGGGGTTTCACCCCTTACCCTCGAAATTTCTCCGAGGCCTAGTATAATGTTAGGGCTATACAATATTTATCTCTATAGTAAATTATTAATAGAATGACACCCCTCACCCCAAAAAAAATCCTGTGTGCAACTGACGTCAAGTATTAGCGAGGGGCTTTTCCCTTCACTCCCTATACTAAATTTTCTATAACCTGGTAACCTGATAATTGCAAGACCTTTGTCACTTTTATAAAATTGATGATGAACATAAAACAAAAAGGTTTTCTCATTAAACTGCTTCTTTCTATGTATTATACACGATTTAAGATAATATATCTATATAATATATTATATCTTAAGTTGTGGTATTATCTTATGAAAATATCGGGAGAAATCAAAATGAATAGAAAATACAGTGCATCCAACAAAAGAAATCCAATGAATATTTTCGATGGGTGCTCGAGCACTCGAACACCTATGTACTTGGCGCCTATGACTACAACTATAAAACTCTGAATACACAATTTAGAAGTTACCGAAGACATGAATCTATACAGTTGGAGTTATTGGAGAACTTTCAACTTCAAAGGGATTAAAATATTAATATTATTTGTACCTACTTAATAATTAACTATTTAATATAAATAGGACAAAATGCAATTTATGCACTTAAATTTAATTGATTTTCAATCTTGTAAAGTACTTGAGTAAAAGTATTTGAATAAAATTATTCAAATATTTTTAATGTATTCAAATTCGTATTTTAAAAAGTTATGAAATAAATACTTGGACATAGTATTTTAAGTACTTTCCCAGAGTATCTATATTTAAGATTAAATATTTTTTTTTACAAATTGTATTTCAATTGTATCACATTAAATAATAAACTAATTTACCAATTATTTATTTATATTAGGTATATTAAAAATATTTATCCTTATTGTTTAAATATAATCAATATTTATTAGTGGTATATTATAAAAATTTGCCGTACAGACCTATTTTAACCAATTTCATTATAAATACCAGTTCTGAGAGCCCTATAGTCTACAACATACAGTATTATGATTAATAAAAGTATACTACATGACAATCCTTATCAATTAATAATTTCATAACAAAATTAAAAATTTGTTTAATTTTTATTTTCCAATTACATTTTAATTATAATTTATGGACTATTGCAGGTGTTGGGAACCTGTGACTCCTTAATATGCAATCAGTGGCTCTTTGGAAAATTCATCAATATCGAAACTCATAAAATATAAATTATATTATACGTTATTATCGTGATAATATTTCTGAATTTCTTAATAACGATATTTATTTCAGGTAAAAATAAAATATTATTTTGTCTATGATGATCCCACAATATTTATTATTCATTTCTATAAACTTTTCACCCTATTAAAATATAGCAATATTGTGAACAAAATGTCTATAAACAAAAAGCTCAAAATTGAAGAGGAAAATAGAGGATTTAGAAGCGAGTGGACTAATACTTTTTCATTTGTCCAAAACATCATCGTGTAACCAAAATCTCTCATTTGTGACGAAAATATAAAAAAAAGTTTACCTAAAAGATTCTTTAAACATCATGGTTTTATAACTTTTTTAAAAAAATGCCTCTTTTCTATGAAAAGGTTCCCGGTCCCTGGCCTATAGGAACTCAGAACTATTTTATTCGTTATAATCATGTAAGACATGAATATATTTTTAAAATTATTTTACATTTTTTTTATGATTATAAAGTAAACAACGATATAAATTTTTTTAAGTATTTGAAAATATCTATGAATACTTTTTTGAAGTATCTGGATTTGAACTTGAATGCTTTTTTTATCAAGTATTTAAATACTTATTTTAAATACTTTTGAAAACAGGTATCTATATTTTTATTTAAATACCTATAAAGTATCTTTTACAAGATTGTTGATCTATATTAATAATACTGTTGTATAATATCCAGTTATATTAGGTTATAAGCTAAAAAATATTGGTATTATACCAAGAATTGTAATTACATATACCATATTTTCCACTTATATAGGTTATTCGTAAAAAATTTAATAAGATTCATCCGATAAGTATTCGATGAATCTTATAAGACTTATTAAGCACGATTTTTTTGAAATATTTTTTTTCATTTAGAATAGAGTAATGTGATAGATACTGTTGATTCCTTTAACTGAAGTCTAAATTGCCATAAATAATAAATTATAAATTCTCCAAAATTATACATAAAGTCTCAATAAGAATTACAATATAATTTTATTATACCTGTACCTATCAGATAAGCTATTATGGTATATAATTAACACGCACATTGCACATAATAATAAATATTATATACAGTATGAACTATGTAGACTTTGAGACAAAAGAATAACTTAACAAATATATATTAAGTAGCCGTCATATATCACCACTTGCGTAATAATACGTACAAACGATATTTTTCAGTTGTGGCAAATATTTATTTACCATCTATGCAATATTTGCTGACATCTTTGCTGACATCTATATTTCTTTGCCATATACTATATATTTTATAAATACAATACATTAGCTACATCTAGTTATAATCACCTTTGACCTCATAACATTCATAACTCATGACGCAGTTACTTTTCCGTATAATAATATCGACTACACGGGAAAAAAATGTACAAACTCATCCATACATTACGCATTTTTATTTTTAAATAAATACGCATACATTTAAATGTTTTAAAACTCACTTTTTAAAATTTGCCATTGTTATTATGCAAGGTTATTAAAGTATTATTTCTGTATTCCGCACCAATGTACAGTTATAGTTGAGTAAACTAATTTAGGTATTATACCACTCAATCACTGACTACTATTTATATATTACGCATATAATAATATTATAAAGTATACAAATTATACACACTCGGTAGTCTATATGCTCAAATACTCCGTAGTTAATGGTAATATCTTATATCTGAACTTTAGTTATTCTACTTCTACTGAGTTCTACGTTATAATAATATTACTAATATTTATTAATACGAGCGTACTCGAGTTGAATTTATTTAAATTAAGACATTTACTTATGGAAAACGCGTTTTAGTTTTTAACTTGTCAGCTTTCACCTTCGATTTCAGTATTAGGCATTATATGAATATTCTGAAAAATCGAAAGAATGATCAATTATTAGTTTTTTAGAAAAAAAAAATGATTTATATATGAATCATATACCACTATTGTTCCTTATTGGTTAGTAATAATAAAATATGAACTTGTACATGTATAAAGAGAGAGAGAGAGAGACAGCAATTCCATTTATTGATACAAAGAGACGAAGTTTGAATGAAATATAATAATAAAATAGGTACGTTAAATAGTTCAAATAATCCATTTAACTTGAGTTTCTTAAGCACGAAAAGAGGAACTTGGGGCTTGAAAATCAATTTTTCTTAGAACTGCTTGAATCGTTTTACAACTTGATTACTACGTAAAATATCTTTTTATATATTTAAATCATCATTACCTTGACGATTTTCATATTTATGTATTATAAATATCATAGAAAACCAGGGGCGTCATTTCAACTTTTCAATAAGGATGCAAACATTTGAATCAGGCCAATTGTTCCCTCCACCAGGCCATTTATATATCCTGTTTATTTAGCGGAGCGACTTGCAATCTCTCACACCGGCGCGGCGGAGGCACATTTTTTTTTATAAATAGAATGGTTACGCAACGAGTTTTGATAAGATATAATACTGTAATAGATGTATTCAATACTCCAATAGAACAATAGGTTCTTATGAAAAACTCGCACCATTACAGCGCGTTTGCATCTTACATTTTATCGACGACGGCGCAATTATAACATTTTATACGGGCCAACCAAACATTTAAAAAAATAGGGCTGCCAATGTATAGTCTGAATCTCCCAAATGACGCCCCTGTAGAAAACTCAGTCTCTTCCACCCTTTTTCACTCCAACAAACAAATAATTAAAGCTATTCTTAGTCATTTAAGATCCTTGTACCAACCAGTGGCGTATTTGAGGGGGGGGGGGGGATGGGGGCAACCCCCCCCCCCCCCCAAGAATTTTTAGACCAAGACAATTTTTATAAAAGTAATGGGTATTTTATTAAGAAAAAAAAATTATGATTTATTTTATAGTATATTTTATAATATTACTATATTTGAAAAAGTTTCAAATTTTACACTAATTTAAATAACGCAAAACGCTAAATTTTTCATAACGTTTTAATTGTCAATAACGGTAAACGGAAAATTTTTTAAACGCTTAAATTGAATAACGTTTAAATTATTTATAGCGTTTAACGCTCAATTGCTTATAACGTTTATATGTCCCATAACGATAAATAATATATATTATTTTGATTGAAGACCAGTCCATACTTAGTGAAAAATTAGATAAAACACAAGCAAAACTTTCAAAACACAGATAGGTGTTAAAAAAGAACTACACAAAAGACCATTCTAAGTGGCTCCGGTATTAGATTAAAAAAAAAAAAAAACACAAATATTAAGGATTCACCTGATATAAATATTACCAAAAATTTTTCTTGTAAATTTTGAGCCTGAATTAAAGAAAAAATTTGAGTCGCCCCCCCCCCCCTATAAGTAAGTTTAAATACGCCTCTGGTACGAACCTCGAATTTCCTGCGATCAAAATTCGATTAAGAAAAAAAAAGAAGCTTTTGTGCAGTGTGATCGTTACACAACGTTCTCTTCACTTCGTCCGATGTGGTCACGCTGCCGTGTTATTGTCTACTGCTTCGTGAACGGGGACCATATCTTAAATCATGACAGAAACTAATAAAAATATTATTGTCTGTACTCTATATTGTTATAGTAATTACTTCGAGCGTAAACAAAACAACCGGTTGCTCAGTCAGAGTATGAATCATCCTCGCCGTTTGCGTTGACCCTGAACCGGACGAATTTCTTGTTTTCGTGATCCGTCTGCTGACGAACAAACATTTCAATGTTAGTATATCAGGTGCAATTCAAGTTTTTCTATGCAAACTAAAAACGTTGAAACTCCGACCACATACAACGACAAATTACTCTATTCGACACTCGAACAAGTTATATTTTATTTATTTTAATTAACTTTTTAGTTATTTTGGATTTCCAATCTGGCTATGCACTGAACATAATATAATATATTAGATACAGTACTGACGGTTTTCTACATTACATTTTTAAAGATCTACGTTAATTGTAAGGACGGAATCTGGCAAATCTATAAGAAGTGCAAGTGTACAAGTACTGACCACCTAGAACTTGCAATTTTGGCATTTGGTAAATAAACATTATTTTACGTTGTTCTTTTTGAGATAGGTAGTTTTATTTGGAATTTTGAACTCTCCTTGTGTTATGTGTTGATTACATTTAAACCTTTCAATTGTTTTATTCAAATCCAATGCACAATCTTAAAAAAAATATATAAGTATTCCATATTACATTCTATAATTTTTATGTTATATAGTATAATATACTATGTTTATACTTTTTAATTCTTTACATACCTACTATTTCAACTTTTATAATCCATTTTTTGTAATATTTTTCTAAAATTAATTTCTAATGTATCCATTTATTATTTAATACAAATTTTTAAGAATTAAAATATAAATTGGGTTGAAGGATATATTTTGATGTTTTTGTTGTAATAATTGATAATTATGATATTGATTTAATTGTGTTAAACTCTTAGCTAAGTATCCAAATCATTATTATATTTACCATAAGTTAAAATGACTCTTGAATAGCCAATAGATATAATCACAGTTTCTTGACCTATACATTTAGTACCAGAAAATCATTTTTGTCATAGATGTTATATGTTCTTTAAAATAATTTGATGTTTGAAATTCCAGTTTAATATACATTTTCTAAAAAAAAACATGTGTATAATAATATCATAAATTATAATTTTCTTGGTCCATAAATTATAGGAAAATCTTATATTTTAAATTTAATCTCTTAGCTATTGACTTAAAATGTATTGACTTTTATCATAACATGATAATAATTTGATGATCAAGCTATACAATCTAATCTTAATAAAATTATCACTTGAGATGAATAAATGAAAACCCAGCATATATATATGTTTTTAGTTTGATCATAAAAGTATTTCTTTAATCTTATTTATTATTATTCTTTATAATAATGTAATGCATATTTATTTAGTCTGAAATTTAATTTTTAATAATCTATATCTCATAAGTATAGACCGGATACAATTGCATTAAAAATATCTTATAATTGCACTAAAAAGATACTAAAAGTGCAATGAAAAATACATAAAAATTACAAAATAAAATCATATCAAATATCTAAACATTAATTACTTACTTAAATAATATTATGTACATTAATATAATATTTACAAAATTTATAATTTTTCTGAATTAAAATCTATAATTATATACATATATAAATTGTGTTCTTGAAAATTGTATCATCTGTTACTTAAAATATGTTGATAAGTGTTATAATTATAACATCATAATAGTAGGGGACGCTCAAATTTCTAAAAATTAGAAAGGGTATGCCGTCCCCCTGCGTCCCCCAACAAGTCGAGCATTGGTTATAGGTACATATTTAAAATAATTTTAAAAAATTGGTATTTTATCTAAATTAACATTTTGATTTTTTGCCATAACCTCAGAGTAAGTTTTAATAGTTTTATAACCTTCATTTTTTTCTAAGACTTATTTTAATTTATCTCTATTTTCCCATTGGGATCTCCGTTAATGTTTATCAAACAATTTTCAACTTCATTAAATATGTTTAAACTATTAAGTAATAGGCTATTTGATTTTTCTAAACTTGTGAGTCATGTGGATAACTCAGAAAAATATAATTTTAAAAATGTTAAACTATATTTAACTACATGTAAAAATTTACATTGTAGTTATATTTTCATTGTAAAATTACTTTAAAAATAATTTGTATATTTTATCGCGTGAAATGTACAAAAATTGCAATATTTAATTAAATAGAAAGACTGTAATTAATTCGATTCATATACTTATTTGTTCAGATTTGATTCACCTGGTATCAATAAAAAGTTGCAATATCAATTAAATCTAGTCTTTACTCATAAGTAATGCCCGGGCACTATATTCCGGTATTATATGCACAAAAATGTACGAAATATGCATGCGTTTATACGATGGTTATCATTCAAATATGCACTCAAAATATGCAAAAATATGCAAAAACATGCGAACAAAAATGCATGTGTATTATTTATTAAATTTATATAATTTTAAAATGTCTACGATTCATTAAATAATTAATATTCAACAAAAAATATACTTTAAAATATATTAACTGTATTTTATATATTTTATTGAACTGTATGGAACTGTATGTTGTATTAAAATTAAATTGTATTTTGAACACTCACTCATCTAAACAAAAAGTCACAAACGAAAATCAATTTAAATAAATCAAGCAAATTTTTATAATATTCTTAAAGTTACTTGGAGAGTTACTATCATAGTGGTACTTTTAGCAAACTTTATCTTATCTTATTATAACACAAAAATCAAATTTTATAACTGCACGATTCACGGAATTTACAATGGACATGCGCTAAGTAATAAATAATAATATTAATAACTTTATAATATTTTTTTCTATACATGCATTATATTTCAAAAAAATGCTAAAATATGCATAACAATTTGAAATGTTCTAAATATGCAAAAATATGCCAAATTTAATTTCGCATACCACATTAGAGAAAAACAAGATTCAAATTTCTGTCTTACCTAGCTACTTTTTAGTTTAATATATAAAAATATGCAAATGCATACAATTCTGGGCCCTGTTCATAAGTATGTTAGGATGCAAATAATTGTTATTTTTTTAAAAAAATGATGAATTTTTAAATAATTGAGGATCTACTAAAATAGTATTAGTCTTATATTAAAAATTTAATAATATACCTAATTTATCATATATTTTTTTTATTTAGGATTTTAAAGTACTGTATTGAAAGTTTGACTACATTTATGATGGAGTCCGAATTCAATAATCAGAATGACTTATTACATCAACTAAAAATGTTACGTGCTGAAAAAGAATTATTGGAAAAACATGTTTTTGTCCTTAATGAATGTTTGTCCATAGATGAATTAAGAGCCAAAATATCTGATCTTGAAAAAAAGAAAGAAATGATTAGTTCATTAGAAAAATTGATTGCAAAATTACGTGCTGAAATTGAACCGCTTAAATATTTAAAATCTATTTTGGAAAATAAATTAGAATTTGAGGATCAAAAGAATAACTTTAGGTCACAATCTTGTATTGATTTGAAACCAAATGTTTTTAAATTTGATACAAACATTTCTAAAACTTCATTATCTCAAATGACTCATAACATTCCTACTGAGTCTATCAAAAAAGAATCAGTTTCATCACAGAAGCTGTATGATGTACTGTCAGATACAAATAAAATACTTTCTAATACTGCTTCAGTTGTGACTAATAACAGTATTGATGAATGTATGCAATTTTTGGAACAGTATGATGTGGTAACTGATCAAGAGATACTTAACTTTTCAGAAGAGGTTGGTTTAGAAATATAAGTATTTAATTGTAAAATATAAATTTAATATATTGATTTTATAGAAACACTCAAAAACTCAAAACATTGACAAAGAATCTACTTTGGCTAACTTGAATATTGAACCAAAGGCTTCTACAAGCACAAATATTGAAGCTGAAGGCATAAATATAGAGTTAAACAATTATGACAGTTTATCTGTAAAGGTAGAGTGTTATTGTTGTTTACATTGGTTTTAAAACCCATGATTTTAGTATTTTTTATATAAATACTTTTGTTTTATAGGAAAATGTTGAATCATGTGTGAAAAATGTAGTTACAAACTCTGACAACAATAGTACTCAACTTCATGAGGCTAGTTCATCAAATTTCATAAAAAATTCACAGAGTGTATACTCTGATCCTAAACAGACTATTAATGATTTGTTATTGAAAATACCACAATTATTATTACAACAAGGGCTCTCCTCTGTTACAGTTAGTATATTTCTATTAATTTTATGTTCAATTAATAATATGAGAAAATCTGTTATAATATTATTCTATTATCTATCTACATTTTAATCATTCACATTGAATGGTTAATTTAAATTTGGTTTGAGTATATGTTTTTTAATAGAAACTGTTAAAAACATTTTTGAGGTCAGTAAAATTTTTTTAGAATAAGTTCTCTATGAGTATGTGTCTATAAGTAACTGATATTTTTGATAGAAATTTATCAATATCTATAGAGATTACAAAATATTGGTTGTATATGGGTGTGATGGATGGTTTCAACATTATTTATATTTTTCTTTACTATTTAAATTAATATTTTAATATATATATATATATATAATTAATAATTAATAATTTAAATTTATCTATGATTTTAATATTTTATTTGTATTTTAATATTAGGTAGAAGATAAATTGAATGAGTCTTTAAAATATGTAAATGAATCATTGAAGGGAAATACTGAAAATAATAAAATCTCAGATAAAGTAGATTATTTCAATGTATTAAAAAAAGAAGTGGGTTCAATTTTAGCTGGCTATGAACAATTATTGTTAAATAATGCACCTGAGATCATTGAAGTATGGTTTATATTTTTTACATGATATGTATTGTATAAGAATTTTTTTTTCTATTAATAGACAAACAAAAATGAATCTATAAAACCAAGTACATCAACTCAATCTGGTTGTGAGAAATTGTTGAATAGTGAAAATAGGTTTAATGATGAAGTATTGATTATCTTTTTATGCTTATCTTCTTTTATTTTCATTTTGTATTTATTTATTTGTCTTAGGAGATAACAAACAAAAATGAACCCATAGAATCAACAGAGTTTAGTCAACATAGCGAATCAAAGTCACTATTTACTAATAGTTTTTCAGAAAAAAATATCAATAGCTTTAATGAGATGAATTTAAAAATTGATATTCTACGTGGTATTTACTCACTTGGTTTTGTGAATCCTACTGGTTTACAAAAACGTGTTATTGTACACTGTTTGAATGGGCGTGACATTATTGTTTTATCTGGACCGGGAAATGGCAGAACAATGATGTTTACTATACCAATATTACAACGAATTAATACCAATTTAAATGAATGTCAAGTTTTAATAATAGTACCAACTCGGGACCTTGCTGTACACATTCAAAAAGTATATTTTATTAAATTATTTTGGTAGTTTTTGTTTCTGTTATATTATTTAATTGTTCTTTTTTAAATGTAGATCATATTGAGTGTTGGGGATTTTATGGGTGTTAATGTATGTATTGGTGGTGATAATGTTCCAAGGAAACTAACTGTTATCCCGCATGTAATAGTTGGTACACCAGCTGGAATATTTAATATGATTGCATGCAAATCACTACGTACTGGATGTATACACACCGTTGTTATGAATCAAGTTGAAAAGATGTTGTCCAATAGCTCCATAAAGCTAATTGAAAAAATTGTGGAGAATCTACCAATTAATAAACAAATTACTTTGTTGACATCAGACAGACTTGACCATGTATTAGACACATTCATGGACACCTTGCGGGACCCATTGGTTATTATTAATGAAGAAAAAGAAAAAGATACAAAGATTCTTAAAAGTATATCTTCATAAATTATTGTTTGTAGTGCTTACAAATTATAATATAATGTAGACAATCCTATTTAACTTATATTATCATAAAGTATGTTTTAATAAATCTTAAAATATTTATGTTTTAATCATAGATCTTCCCAAACAATTTTATTTGAACATTCAAGAGAATTGGAAAATGAATGCTCTTTGTGAAATTGTTGAAAGTTTAAAGTTACAGAAAACAATTATTTTTTGTAACTCTGTAGATAGAGCGGAGAAGCTATGTGAATCATTACAAAAATTAGATTATGCCGTATCACTTTTTCATTTGGAAATCAGTGCAACTGAACGTGAAAAAAAACTTAATATGTTTAATTCAAACATGCTACATATGCTAATTACAACAGACCCAATTAAAGGAAATCAATTTCAGAATGCAGCTTGGATAATAAATTATGATTTACCCATAAATTCAATTTGTTATTTAGATAGAGTTGCTAAATCTGCAGAGAATTTAAAGGTTATTAATCTTATTAATGAATTTGATGACCTTAATAAATTGGCAATCGAAACATACAACAAATCCTATTTCATTCAGATGCCTTTGAACATGATAGATTTGTTACAATATTAAACTTGTATGAAAATATTAATTTATAATGTCAAGTTAAACAGTTAAAATAATCAGTTATGTTATTATTTAGTAATTATAAAGTTATTTTTCTTGGAAATGGATTGACAATTATTATTTTTTATTAATAGAATTAGTTATTTTATAGTTTTATTTCTCTTATTAATTTTAAAACCTTGTTTTTTTATATTTGATTTTGTTATTATTATTATTATTCTATAAAATATTATGATATACTTATGTTAATTAGTTATGAAATAAAAATAAAGTTAATGTTTGAAAAATCTTATTATATTATAATGTAGGTGATACTTTTAATTCAATATATACATCCATAAAGTTTGATGTTCCTTATGAGTATTAAAATAAGTATAGTTCTATTATAGTTAAAGTATTTAGAATTCCAATTTAGTGCTGCTAAACAGTATATGTTATAAAATTATTAGTAATGACTAGGGCTCAGTTTCCCATAGATTTACATTTTTTCCTGAAATGCTTGACATGATACTTTTAAAATACAAATGTATTTCAAGTAAACACTATTATAATAACTAGGGCCCGGATTTCAATGCAAAGTGCATATTTTTTTGGTTATATTTTTTCGTTTTTAGAGCATTTTTATTATTATTGGGTCATTTTGTTGGTTTTTAATGCATATTTGTTCGATTTACTATACAAATTTAGCCTATTCAAAATAAAATCAAAAGAAAAATTATTTTTTTGATATTTAAGTAGGTTTATCAGGTTTTTCCATACACATTGTCAATCTTTATTTTTTTATTCAGTTTTTATCTTATTATTGACTATGGAACGTCACCAGTATTAGGTTAAATAAATTAACTTTAGTTCGTATTACCTCGCAGACTTTGCTCGTATTACGTGTGAATGTGATTTTAATGTTTTAAATAGTGTGTTAAATAATGCCCAAAACAAAAAAAAATTTTCATTTTTAAGGTAATTTTTTCATTTTTAAGTTAATTTTTGTGGTAAAATGCGTTTTTTAAGGACATTTTCGGCTATTTTTTAGAGCATTTTTGTATGGTTTTAAATGCATTTAAATCCGGGCCCTAATAATAACAATAATTTTCCATTTTACTAGGTTTTTGGCGTTAAAGTACATTTTTTAATGTATTTATGTAATTACTTATTTTTAGTAACATAAAAAAATTATAATTTTAAATACTCATATATGGTATACAAATTTGGGGTAATGTCGCTCTAAGTAAAATGTAAAAAATCCAATCTTTCCAACCCATCTTCTTACGCACTATAATCTCTAGTAAACTCCACCAACGATTTAGCTCTCATACTAACCTCAACATAAGTCACCTTGCTTCACTCTACATCCCTAATAATTCCAACAGAAAACTTAAAGGGTTTGATTCTCAAAAAACAGGAAATAATTATTTATACAATTAATATTTTTATTTTTGTGTTTAAAAAAAAAAAACAAAAAATAAATTTATAAATTAGAATATAATATTTTTTTTGTCTTTGAAATACATTTATGTGTGGATCACCAATATTTTGATTATAGTTATGGCCTCAAATTATTTTAATCCCGGCTTGTTACTTGTTGTACTTAATTCTGTAATTGTATAATTCATTATTAAATAATAAAAAAAATACTAATCGATTTAACTACATGGGTCAAATTTGTTTTATTTTTAATTACTTATATAATAAATATAAAGTAATTTAAATAATTATTAATTAGTGTACACTTTGGTACTGTAATCTATCTTTATATACTGCGTTTTAGAGTTTTTAGACCTTACATTTATTTTTAGGACATAAATGTATTTTTTAATAGAGCATTTTTCGAAATTTTTATGTCATTTAAATCCAAACCCTAGTAATGTCTAATGACGTAAATTGTTATACAGTTTTTGTAATTATTTTATTCTGTTGTCGGTAAAAATATTAAAAAAAATTATAAATTAAACTTCTAAAATAATATTATATTACAGTAAAATCTCGCTAAGACGGACAATTTATTTAGTCCCGTTTCAAAATGTACATAATGAGTTCATCCCGCCAAGACAGAAACCTCACTAAACCATAAACAGTCAGGTAGCCATATCAAAATTGGCTCAAAACTTGCAATAAGGCTGGATACAATGTAATTAAGTTAGTGCTTTCACATATAGACCGGACCGATAAATTTATCGGTCCGGTGAACGATTCCGGAATTCGCCATCAGCGTTGAATTCGATAATTCGAATGCCGAACTGATCTCCGAATTATCGATCTCAATGTTTTCTTATACAAACGTGTACACACAGGTCTTGTCGGTACCGAAGGGAAACCTAAAAATAGTTATTTATTCGCGTTTATGTTCTCTGTTTCATTTTGTTTTTAATATTCAAAATTGAAGGA